TCCTTTTGTCTCGATGATAAATGGCTGCGGGATATAACGACAAGGGATTAAAGGATTAATTCGTAAGTCGATGCCAGGCATATCTGTCGCATGATTATAGAAGGCACTGTAAGAAGCCCCTGTAGCTTTATTAATGATCGGTTGCAACATCGAGTTTGCATACAATGGGGTGGGGGGACGCGGGGATCCGTTGTATCAGAGTGCGCGAAAAGTTTATCATTCTCTCGCACTCCACGCTACATTAATTTTGTATGGGTCGCTAATTAATACAGCGGCGGCCTCGTGGCTTTTATTTCCCTTGCATTGTAATACGGTAAAAGAGTCGCGACATTGTGCGATACCGAACCTTTGTTCGATGAACAACGAAAAACTCCCTTTCCAATTTCTAAGTGGTCGTAATGCGCGTCACGGTTGCTTACACGGTGTCTAAAATGGAGCGTAGTTGCATGAGTTTTCACGGGCGACATCAAGTAAATTCCGCCTTGAAATCTCACATGTATTTCTAAGTAACTACCAGAGACGCGTAATTAAATTTAATTATAATTCGCGAAACTACAACCGCGCGTCATCTGCATCCTTTCATCCCCTGCCCTTCTCGTATCCTCGGTCCCCCTTTCTACGCTACATTGCGGAACATAACTATAGCACCACTGACATTTATAAGATTTTTATAATTTAAAAGAAACATTCAAAGAAAGTAATTGTATAACATGAAGAAGTAAATAATGAACTTTAGTCGAAACATAGTGAAGTGATTTGTGTACGTAACGAGATAAAGTCGAGAAACATTATGCAATCTGTAATTGAATCGTGGAATGAAATTTTTAGAAAACTAATCACGAGCATGCTCAGTTGCATTTTTGAGTTAATAGAGAAGAAAGAAGGTCCTACTCATCATTAAATTTGTCCATTTTATTCATTCAAATTATAACTTGATCGTTTCGTTGTAATTTATTATTGTTATTACATTATTGTTGTGCACCTGTAAAATACTTATGTTATTGCTATATTTTGTCCTAAATAAATGTTATGTTCGCCTTTTTTCATTACTATAATTTCATTTTAGCCTATAATATCTCTGAATATTCGTGAATTTAGAATTAACTCAACTATCGCAAGATTTGGACGTTTCTTTTGCAATCTTCTCTCCTAATATCTAATACGCCTAACATCTTCGCAACACTTGTGTTTGGGTATCACTGAAGGACCGCAACATCTCTTTCACACGATTTAAAAGTTCTACACCAGGAACGAACACGCGCACAAGCTTCGACCGTTCTTACAATACTGATAAACAGAAACTAAGGAACCAAGGATCTCTTAACCTTGGCAAGGATATATACGTCTACGAGCTAAAAAAACAAGCAAGGTGGCTTGAAACGCAGATAGTGACACAGAAATACTTCTAAGAGCAAAGGTTATTGACAAAGAGCGAATTCTCAATATCTACTAAGCTTATAGTAAAGAATTTTTTTTATAGAAAATTATTCTTAATTCTTAAGACCTGTCAGCGCAGCGATTCCTTATTCTATGTATAGAGTGTGTTTGGCCACCCCTGGGAAAAATTTTAATGGAAGATTCTACAGGCCAAAGTAAGACAAAAATCAAGAATACCAATTTGTCGATGGAGGCTTCGTTAACAAATTATTAACGTTTAAAGTTCCGCTCGTACTGCATTTTTTTTCTCAAAAATCTGCAGGAATTTAGGGGTATGTCTATTCACAAAAAATGATTATAATTGACCCCCGCAACCGAAAATAATTTTTCCAGAATGATTTGAAATTTTTTAATTTTGTCGAAAAATTTCACACCTTCTCGAACTTTTTCCTAGAAAATGGATAGGATTTCGAGGATATGTGTAATGATAAAAAATGATTATAATTTACCCCCACAGCTAAAAATAATTTTTTAGAATGATTTGAAACTTTTCATTTTATCCGAAAAATTTAGGCACCAACCCCTTTGTCGATTATTCTTATAAATTCGTTTTTGATTTTGAATAATTTTCTTTGACGCTCTGCAGAGAAGTTGTTTAATACTTTTTGGAGGTATCCATTGCTCTGCTTCATAAAAAATTTCAATGAGATACCTTTACTATTGTAGGAGTTATAGCCGTTTGAAAATTGGACCAGTTTCAGTTAAGGAGCAATTTTTCGAATGTTTTTGGAATTTCTACACATTCGTGATTAAAATACGCGTCGTTTGCATTTCGAAACTTTAAAATCCCCCAATCCATTCAGGAGTTAGGACATTTAAAATTTCGTATGAAATATCGGAGAAGCATTTCTGGCTTCAAATTAGATTATCGGTAAGGAATTTTTTTCTCGAAAGTGCGTAGGATTTCGAGGATATGTCTACTCACCAAAAATGATTGTAATCGAGCCCCGCAACTAAAAATAATTTTTTCAGCACGATTTGAAATTTTTTAATTTAATTTTTTAATAACTTTTCAACGAAGCCTCAATCAAGATATTAATGTTCTCGATTTTTGTCTTATTTTGAAAAGTTCGAATGAAAAGTTCGTGGATTTTTATTCCAAATAAATTCGGTGTCATTTATTTAATCAATGACATAATTTTCCATTGATCACAAGGAACAAGGTTTTTTTATTATCGTCTTCGTAGAATGTTTGTGGTTCCGACGAGAAATATTCTTAAAGGACGGTTCCAACTTCTTCGTCAGTTTTGAAGATTTTTCCGTTAATTTCGTAACAACCTGACGAGACGATAATTCTTAATTCAAGTCTTAAATTTTTAGTCATAACGAAATATAAACGGTTTATCGTTAAGGATTCATTGACTCGTTGCTATTGTTGTTTAATAATAAATATTCATAATAAATTATTCTCTTCGAGTCCTACAATTATTTAATTCGAAATTAACGTCTCCTTAGGAATCTACAAACGAGCGACAGCAGTTTTTAATCTACGTTCTTTTTTCGCGTTACATTCGAGGACCAAACAAGGAATTTTTTAACATTGTGCTTTAAAAGACATCGATTTCTTTATTTTAATTAATTAAAATAAACACTAGTTTAAGAATGTGTAGTTTATAAACATAGAAGTTATACGATTGAAAAAATATACGAACAGGACACACAGAATGTCTCGAAAGGCCACAGGTTCCCCATGCCTTGGTCAATCGATCAAATTTGTTACCCACAAGCTTGCTGGGAAAACCACGTGATGAATTAAAAGAAACGCAGGGGAAAGCCAGAACTGTGCGGCGATTTTACAAAATGTGTTATGAAAAAAATTCAAAAAAAGTAAGGACAACTGCGAAAAATTGCCCCCAAAAAAATCGTGACATATTGTGAAGACTTTTGGATTACCTTTTCTTTGTTTGGAGTGTTTTAATGACACCTCTTGCTCATCCCTTGGTCAACCGATAAAATATTTAACCCGCTAGTTTCCCAGACCTTACACGGTGGACAATCGTCACATATTTAAGAGTTAGTGTTTGTCAATATCTCCGAGGGCATAACGGGATACTGTCAATAATTCGTTATCCGAGCAGCCCTTGTTTATCGACGAACCGAATAGAGCAGTGTGTTCTCCCGATGGACCAGGAAGAGTTTCGAGAAGATTGCTTAGTCGACGACCAAGGTGGAGTAGTTGCGAAAGTTCGAACTAGACTTCGCACTCCGATACCGATTGCTCGGAACGTATTTTCTTAAGAACTTTCCTCGAACACACATTTCGAAATCTGTATTCTCAGAAGGGAGCGCAAAATCTCGACAGAATTCACGTACCAAGTATTCGGCCTCGAGGCGACTGTGACACAGTTCATCGAAAGTGAATTATTTCACGACACACGAAAATTTCATCGACCCGCTCGTATAAGCTTTCGCGTTCCGAAATACGAATTCTCGTCAATGGGGGATAGGAAATTTAAATTTTCAACGCGCGCGTTAAAAGCTCGATCCAAGCCAATCCCACCCGTTGAATCTTTTATTCGTGGTCCAGACGTTGGACCGCAAGAAAAACGAATATAACTGCTTCGTTAATTGAAAATATCTGTCATCTTGTCGAGCGTCCGTAGATCACCATCTTCGGCAAAACCGGTTGTACAAACAATTTTATGTCGTTAAAAGTTTACTTGTAATATGTTGATAAGACATTTACTTAGAAAATAAGCCCAATGGAGGCTAAAATTATACGACGCGTATATTAAAATTTTCACATTGAAATTATATTCACCGGTATTAGAATTTTGATGAAAATGTATACTGCAAGCAAAACTACGGAATCCTTTCAGGATGTTTCTAGAAATAAGGCTTTTTCGCGTCACTCACCAAGGTAACGAAAAGGAAAAAGAATCCTTTTCCATCGAGGTTATATTTGGTGCCCGACAAGAAACACTCGATGCAGAGGTGTTTGCCAAATAAATTCGATAGAAGACTTATTGGCCTCTTCCCAATACCTATCTCGCTGTAAAAATTTTTGTTCTTTTCGCCAGTCCCGACTCCCTCCAAGAGTATCGGCTCGCCCATCGAACAAAAAGAGACCTTCTCCTCCCCCCTCCCCGCAAACCTCGTGTTTACTTACAATTCGTCGGGGATAATACCGCACGTATTGTTTTCAGTTTTCACCGTTCCCAGCAGTTTTTTAGTGTTTAAAAAGAATTTAATATGCTTCTATATGGAACTTTTATCGCGCATCGCGTTCCATATACAGGGTGTTCGGTCACCCCTGGGAAAAATTTTAATGGGAGATTCTGGAGGTCAAAATAAGACGAAAATGAAGAACACTATTTTGTTGATTGAGACTTGGTTAAACAGTTATTACAAAATTAAGTGGATAAATTTTTCGACAAAATGAAAAAATTTCAAATCATTCTAAAAAAATTACTTTTAGCTATGGGGGTGAATTATAATCATTTTTTATCATTACAAGTACCCTCGAAACCCTAACCACTTTCGAGGAAAAAATTCTAAAAGGTCCAATTTTCAAACACCATAACTCCTATAATAGTGAATACATCTTATTGAAATTTTGGGAGGAAGCAGAATTCATGGATACCTCCAAAAAAATGCTAAACAACTTTTCCGTAGCGTGACAAACAAATGTATTAAAAATTGAAAACGAATATTTAAGAAAAATCGACAGGGGTAGCTGCTGAAATTTCTCGGCGAAAAAAAAAATTTTGAAATCGTTCTAAAAAAATTATTTTTAGTTGTAGGGGCCAATTACAATCATTTTTGGTCAATACACATACCCTCGAAATCCTATCCATTTTCTAGAAAAAAATTCGAAAATGTGTGAAATTTTTCGACAAAATTAAAAAATTTCAAATCGTTCTGGAAAAATTATTTTCGGTTGCGGGGGTCAATTACAATCATTTTTGATCATTAGATATACACCCGAAATCCTACGTACTTTTGAGAAAAAAATTCTTTACCAAAAGTATACTGTATGGCCGGAAATGTTCCTAAAATTTTTTAACCAAGTCTCAATCAACAAATTGGCATTCTTGATTTTCGTCTTATTTTGACCTCCAGAATCTCCCAGGGATGACCGAACACCCTGTATATTTATAACATTTCGATATTGAACGATCAGCAACGAAAACACGCATCAATCGAAGAGCAATTAGTAAATTCGATGCCCGATTTATTTTCCTGGGCGATCGCCGCGTTTCATCGATTATTTTTAAAGGGATTCAGTGTTCACGATTATTCGATTGTAGATAAACGTCGCGCATAACAGTGGCACAGCTAGTTTTAATTAGACGATAAAGACACAGAACGATGATTGCGTTATATCGGTCGCTTGATTACATTCACTATAGCAACGAGTGCACCAGTGAATTCGCCGAGATATTAATTTTTGAACGCGTGGCGCTGGCTATTATCGCCGATAATATCACGCTCGAATCATTTTGGAGCCGGGGGTACCGTTCTAGATAGATTTGGCGACACACACAGCTACGTATTCTGTCGATGCTCAACCGCTTGCTCGTTTCATACCTTTCGTTTATGAGATAATCTTTCACGTGCTCTTTCAGCAAATACGTTGTCAATACATTTTCCGCTTGAAGCTAATTGTAAGTGTTGATTGCGATAACTGAATCGAGAACAAGTCGATTTAACTCCTCGACGCTCGGATATTCTCTTTCACCGATGAAAGAATTAATAATTCGACGATCGGAGCGAACGAATGTATTGCAATAAATGTATAATGTTTATTCGCGTATGTACATAAATTTACATGTGAAACTCGTTTTTTGAGAGTCCCGGAATTGTGGATGTTGATCGACTGGTGAGTGCTTCTGAAATAAGTTAATATCGCCAAGAACTACAGTGAGTGTAGAAAGTATTCGTACAGCGAGTAATTTCAAACGGAACTTTGTATAACTCGGTATATTGGTCAACTTTTTTAATACAAACAATTAACTCTAGAATAAATTTTATAAAACAATAATATAGATATTCGAATAATTATCGAAAAAATTCAAGAAAGTTCAGTTTAGGATAAACAATTGTGAACAAACAATGACCATCTCTGGCCAGCCATTAGTGTGCAAAATTAAACAGTATTAATAACTAGAAGAGGATAATGGAGTCGAAAAGCGTGTAAATCACCTTGAAAGATAGAAAAATAATTATAAATGTGCATAACCAATGTAAAAGCTTTACGAAAGTCTCTCATATGGTCAGAAGACCACGATCTACAATTCAAGGCATAATTGATATTGAATCAAGGTGAATAATAATGCTAGAAGCTAGAAGCATTCTTACTTGTATAATTAAAAAAAAATTCTAAACTAAGTTTAAATCAATATCAATAAGGGGCTTAATAATCTCATAAATGTTAACACTTCACCTAGTTTTGTTAGATATTTTTTGTGAAAGTATGGCTAAAACATAAAGAAAAGATTAAAAGCGAAAATTTACAGAAATAGGGACATGGACTACTGGAATCACATAATTGTAGATGGAAGTCATAAGAGAAAGAAAAACCAAGAATATAATATGAAAAATGTACAACCTAGCGTAATAATTACATTTTATAGATGGGATAACGAAGAATCATACGTACATTAACATTTTAAAGACGCACTTATAGAATTATTTAGAAAAAAATACACGGTAACATACTGTTTCTTCAAAAGAACCATCAAAAAATGCATTAAGAGAACTAGATATCACATACAAATAATTCAATACCAGAGAAGTATGAAGTTATTATACAGGCAAAAGAAATACAAATATTAATTCCTTCTTTACGTTTAAAAATGTGCAACTGTACAAATACTTTTCTGTATCTGCCTATTATAGAATTGAAAAATTGTTCATAATTCCCACAAAAAGCTAAACAAATGCTATTTAACGTTCTCTTAGGAATTGAAGTTTTGAAAATAAAAATGTTTAAAAAACTATTTTTGATTTGTTTTTTAGTGACACTCTCTCCGTACATTTTACGTAAATTTACAGATTTGTTCCTTTTTCGAAATATACTTGCTTCAACTGGATGATCATTTGCAAACTTATGCCAAAAATATAAAAAACACAGTGTCTGAAAATAAATATCGTCAAAATCCGCACGATTATTTTGGTCAATCCAATATTTAACGTTCCAAGGACCACATTTCCATTAATGATTTTTATGTAAGGACGATATCAGGAAGATATCCCAAATTGATTTAAAATCGCAATTTTATATAAAACGAGTCGATCCAACGTAGTCAGTATTTTCCAGAATCGAAAAGGCTCGATTGTACCGTGGCATAAAGCTGTATACAAATTTGAATTTGCTACGCGTTGTTCGGCACGAAACTAATTTCGAAAATACTATGATAAACCAAAGAACGACGAGTCTTTTTGACACCAGCGCGTGTCTAATTTGCACGGCAACAAGTACGACGCGAATTCCTCACGCTCGAGGTTTTGATTAAACTTTGTGACACACGCTAATGAAGTTTTAATTACCACGGTAAGAAACATTGTATCGAACGTATTTAGCTCCGTGCACGTGATCGTAAATCTGCGCTAAAGACGCAAGTGTACACACACTGGCGCCCTTTACGAAACGGAGACAATAGATGATATAATGGACGATGACGTTATATCGAAGTTAGGTTGCGCGGTTGCAGGGTGCCAAGAGACATCGACCTGGAACGAGGAACAGCCATTTCTCCCAAGGGGGTGATCGGAAATTATCATTCAATAATGATATAGGCTAGATACCCCGTCCGCATCTTGATGAACCCGGAGCACGACGAAGCGCAATATACCTAATCACGGGTTATCGCAACGCCTGACTCGTGTAAAGACACCGCACGACGAGCCGTCCCGAATTTCTCGTGAAGCGCGTCACGACGCGTCCCCGTTCATCCTTATTGTTACGTTGATTAAGTTAACTGTGCTTGATTACAACACTGGCTCAATTATCGTCGACGTCTACGTATTTCATATTAAAATTCTAATTTCGAGAAGTGTCTTCATTAACCACCAGAACGAACCCCTCGAATTGTCCGCACGACGAAACTTTATTTTTAGACAATTGGTAACTAACGTATCCACAATCTGATATCGATCTTATTTTTGCAGCCTCGAGTACCATCTAGATTTATTTTATTTAACACCTAATCTTGAAAATTAATTTTTTTAGCTACTTAGTGAAAGATTATGCCATCCATATATGGGCGACGTGATAGTCAAAGTATTAACTTTACGCGTCGATAACAATTTTCTAATGTTGTTAGGTGTATAAATTAATTCGTGCTTTAAAATCGACTATAATATTAATGTAAAATTCTTCGTTTCTCGATCTTGTTTAGCACCCAGATGTAGAAAAAATGAATGTGTGATTTAATGACTTTATGTTATAAATAAACAATGAAGTTTGTACTGTCATAATATGATTCCACGAATATCTCCGTAATTGTATGTTTATTTCCTGTTTCAACTGTTAAAAATGCTAATGAATCATGTATGACACAGAAACAGGTGCACCACAATTGGAAATTATCAGGTTGGATGCCACATTAATTTTACATGGATTGCTTGTGGCGCCAATATGAATTGTTTATTAAGCGTATAATCACGTTTAATAAATTTATCTTATTGGGGGGCATCGGTGACCCCGTGGCGCTGAAATGCATTTTTTCGATTTCGTGTGATGTTCTTATTTTTTTCGATTGTCAGTTATCTCAGATTGTTTATTCGAGTTGTTAAGCAACTGTTTCACTTGTTTATTATTGTCGAGTAGGCCCAACAATCAAGTAAAAACGTCTATTACACTTTTATACGCTACACAAATTTGTATATTTCATATCTTCTATTTAATTTTTTAGTTAGCCCTTAAAATTAATATAACTTCAAATGAAGATTATGGTCCGGTCAAACGACTTCGAGTGCTATCAGGTAGTGAGGAAAGTTCCTTGAGTAGTTTATCTGACATAATAAATCAGACAGTGAAAGTGAAGTTGAAGATGGCGATAACGATGAAAATGATATACAAGAAAAGGAGTGTGATATAAATTAACGTAATCTTTTGGTCGATCAAGCCATGATCACATTTTCAAATTCACCTGGAATCAACTCGTGTCAGTCTGAAATTTTTAATTATATAGAACCATATAGTTTTTGTTTTCATTTTGTTACGGATTAAATATTCCAAATTATCGTGAATCAAACAAATTGCCTGTATCGTCTAGATAAATGGTTTGAAACGAATCCTAATGAAGTCAAACGATTTTTTGGACTAATTATATGGATGAGACTAGTGCCATTACCTAAAATTTATATGTATTGGAGTAGAGACGAAGGATATAATCAGACATTTCCATGTACAGTGATGTCAAGAAACCAATTTTAATTACTTTTGCGGTTCGTTCATTTTAGTAATAACGAAGAAAATGATCCTGATAATAGATTGCCTAAAATTATTCATATTATCGATATTTTAACCAGCAATTTTAATAAATATTACAATCCACATGAAATATTATGCGCATAATATTTCGACAATATTTGAAACAGAAACGTCACAAATACGGAATACAAATTTTTAAATTATGTGATGGACCAGGATATACTTATTCCTTTCAAATATACGCAGGAAAAGAAGAAAATAAAGATAAGATTGTAATGTCCCTTTGCAAGGATATATTGGGCAAAGACCATACTATCTGCA